ATATACTCTTGAATGTACACTCATATAACTATTTATTCCATCATAATTTATCACACTATTTTACAATTGTATCCTCTGTCTCTATTGCTTATGAGGAATACCTCTTGTTCTCTCACTCACTATATCCCTATAACCAAGAATAAGGCTGTCAGATAAAAGTTCCTTATTAAATAAGGAGGAAAGAATGACTGTGATACAGTAAGAAATACATATTTGAATTTTGTCCCTGATTTCTGGCACAGAGATTCCAAAACCCTTGGAAACTCCAGGGTTCTAAGAGAATCTTTAATATGCTAATGAGAAAACTAGTGACTGAGGACTCCTAGAAAACTTTAAGATCAGAATGGGAGCTATTACAATCCATGTTTGAAATTCCATCATTAAAAAAAAAAAAGAATGGGAGCTAGTTGTCAGAAAAACAAGAATAGAGAGTTAAAGAAGACAAGAATAGATGGTTAAAACTTTTAGCTCCATTCCCTCAGTAGCCAATGATTGATTGATTGATTTTTTTTTTTTTTTTTTTTTGTCTCTTTCTATTGCCCGGGCTAGAGGGCCATGACATTAACCTAGCTCACAACAACCTCAAACTCCTGGGCTCAAGCAATCCTCTGCCTCAGCCTCCTGAGTAGCTGGGACTACAGGCATGCACCACCATGCCTGGCTAATTTTCTCAATATATTTTTAGTTGTATGGCTAATTTATTTCTATTTTTAGTAGAGATGGGGGCTTGCTCTTGCTCAGGCTGGTCTCGAACTCCTGAGCTCAAACGATCCTCCCACTTGAGCCTCCCAGAGTGCTAGGATTATAGGCGTTGAGCCACCATGCCCGGCCAATATTCAATAATTTAATAAATTATGCCTGTGTAATGGAACCTCCATAAAACCCCCAAATGAAGGGGTTCACAAAACTTCTGGGTTGTTGAACACATCAAGGGAGTGTTAGAGTGCCAGGAGGTGTGCCCGGAGAGAGCATGGAAGTTCCACACAGCCATTCCTCCTATAACTTGTCCTGTGTATTTCCTCCATCTGGAAATTTCTGAATTGTCCTTGATAATAAACCAGAAAACATAAGAAAAGTGTTTCCCTGAGTTCTGTGAGCCATTCTAGCAAATTATCAAACCAGGAGGGGAAGGCAGTTGTTGAAATCCCTAACTTCATTGTCAACTCAGACAGAAGTGTGGGCAACTCAATACTTGCAGCGGCATCTGAAATGAGGGCAATCTTCCGGGACTGAGTCCTTACAACTTGTGGAGTCGGACAGTAACTCATCAGAGTTAGTGTGAGAATATAACTGAATTGGAGGAGACATTTGGTATCCAGACAGTTGGAGAACTGGTTGTTGGTATGGATGTGTTATAAGTTAAAACAGTACAGAGGAACAAAAGGTTGGTGCAGTATTCATATATAATAATGGCCTCAAAGTAAATTTTTAAAAATATAAATGAGGTTCTTTGACACCAATCATAAGATAAAATATGAACTACCAACAGAGAGCCTTTCTTCTGTTCAATGGAAATTAGAGAACCTGTGTCCTAGCCCTAGTTCTAATACTAGCTACACAAATGATCTTTGCTGAGATATCAAAGATGATAATATAGCCAATATCAACTAAACACCTAGAATGTGCCAAGCTCTATTCTAAGCACTATGCAAATCTGATGTCATATAATACTTATAAAAATACTTTGAGGAATGAATTTCTTGTGTATCCACTTTACAGATGAGAAAAATAAGACACAGAAAGGTTAAGAGACTTGTCCCAATTACAGTTAAGTGACAAAGCCAGGGATCAGATTACAAAGACTGACTCCAGAGTACATGCTTGTAACTACTTTTTGTGTTAACGTGCTTTTCCCTTAAATTCTTAATTGGAAAAAAGAGAGAGAAAGAGAGCAAGGAAGAGAAATAGTTGAACTAAATGATTCCCAAGGAACCATCTAGCTATTACATTTGCACTTTTCTCAAAAATATTTCCTTCTGTGTTGTTAAACTGACTTATTTCAAGTTTCAAATGGCATCCCCAGAAATATGGTTTTATAAAACAAATGTGGGATCATCATTTCTTTGTTTTTTCCCTGAGTCTGTTGTTAGGTAGTCATCACTGCTGTATTTTACATGGTTTTACTTACTAATCATATCTTCTTTCAGGTTTTGCTTTTTAAATAACATTTCATTATACTATCATACTATATTAGTATGATGAAGATTATATGACATTATGATCTATAAAGATCCTGCAGTAATCTTGAGTGCTCTTCACCAAGTATTTCTAATCAACAAACAGAGGATATCTTTCCATTCATTTAGATCATTTTTAATTTCTCTCAGCAATGATTTGTAGTTTTCAGTGTACAAGTTTTTGACAACTTTGGTTAAACTCATTCCTAGGTATTTTATTCTGTTAGATGCCCTTGTGAATGGAATTGCTTTCTTAACTTCCTTTCCAATTCTTCATTGCCAGTGTGTAGAAACACAACTGATCTTTATGTGTTAATCTATTATAATCTGCAACTTGGCTGCATCAACATAATAACTGTGCAGTTGGTCATTTATGACAAGGCACTATAAGAAAAACACAAGCTCACATTGAATTCACAGAAAAAAGAATTCACAAGCATCAAAGAAAATTTAAAAGTTCAGAAATTTGAGACCTTACATGGACAACCACTTCTCTACTTCAATTTATGAAAGAAATAACTGAGAATGCCTTTTAGCAGTAAAGACCAAATACATTCAGCCTTGCGGCAGGTATTAAACCAATCGCATGTTAGTCATACGCACTGTTAAAAACTCAATGGATTAAAGTATTTCCAAGCAGAGACTCAATAAAGCTGTGACTGCTCAGTATAAACTTTCATTTGGACTATATGGTTGGGGAAAAAGAGACAAGGATTTCTTCCATCTGGGTTTGATAAAATGAATATCTGCAATCAAATTAAAAAAAGAGAACCAAGCAGACAGACAAACATGAGGTAGAAAGCATACAAATATATTAAATCCAGGAAGTAGTTATCTAAAACAACTGTGGATATGTCTTTAACAAATAGAGCAGACTATCATAAGATATACAAGATGCCAAAAGAATCATTATCTTGAACTGTGACTATATGCTACCTAAAAATCCTTGTGCCCCCAATTTTCTATACACAGAGAGCAGGGTGAGAAAGGGTATAATCTCCAATATCCATATTAAGCATAGTTAACAAAAATACTAAATAATGAACAACCTAAAAGAATACAGGGAAAAATGGACTAGGGACCTTGTCCCAAAACCCTGAAAAGAGAATCATGGTAAATCAAAGATCAATCCCTACTTCTAGGACAGAAATTCCTATTTAATCTGTACAATGAGATTTTAAAATTGCTACATACTGGTAGCTACATGATAGCTGTGTGTCTTTGATTCTTCACCTTTCCTACTGGGAATGTTTACAGTTAATACCCTACCTTTGTCTCACCATTGTATATTAGATGTGTTAGGGGTAAACAACTTATATTTTAGTTTCTAAATTGTTCAGGTTGAAAGGGGCCATATCTGGACCTGATAAAGTAGAGACTACAGTACATTATTCCCCTCCTATCACCCAGAGAACCTGGATTTTTGAGCTTGAGGCCATGGCTAGATGGAACTTTTCAGATTTTCTTCCATGGAGACAACATATGTTAATTCGCCTGTGAGATAGAAACTTCGAATATTTGGAGACCAAAAGAGCAGAATGTGGTCTATTTGTGATGTTCACCAAATATTACCTGCTCTCTCCCTTTCAGGTTCATGGTAAGATCTCTCTACTTGGCCCCATCATGATTGGGTGGGGCCCTGTGGCTATCAATTAGGATTAGATGTGTCATTTCCAGTCCAGAGTGTTTAATTACTGATATGAAATCTAACAGAGGTCTCTTTCATTCTGCAATGATACCAGGTAACGTTCCACATGGGAATTACACCCACTTCCTAGGGTGAGGACAACGTGAGACAGAGCCCCAGGGCAACCTCCAATGTGTACGCAGGATAAGTAAAATATTAACTTTTGCTGTCTGAAGAGAGCTGAGGCCATAACCAAGCCAATCCTGGCCTTATACTATTTCACATTTCTATAATCTTATTTCTTCTCTGTGATTGCTTTTTATCCATTCGTATAGTTATATACTTCATAGTTCTAATAGCCTGGTATTTCACTACCCAAATAGCATAATTGTTACATCAAATTTATAAAATTCTCTGTGTATTTCCTCTTTCAAGCCATTTATTAAAATGACATTGAAAAATATTTCATAGAATTAAACCCACTCTTCAGTATGGAGTGGTATATTTACACATTTCTATTTAAATTCTATGCCTAATTTTATTTCCTAATTCCTAGTAAATTTTCTTCCCATAGTATAAAACAGATTCTTTAAATAAAGTTGATTTAATTTTCACCTACCAAGTTTTATATTATTAAAAATTGTTGCTAGGATCTTATTGCATACATTATTTATACTATGACTCATCTATACATTCCCTTCAACTGATTGTTTAATGCAAGGCAGCTAGGCATTCAAGCCACCTAAGGTATCAAATCAAGAAAAGAAAAAAATTAAATAGAAAGATTCAAAGAAAAACCATTGCTTATATGGAACAACAGGTAACTCAAACATACATAAGTGCTTTAAAAATTCAAATGTTCTTTATAAATCTTAAGTCATGAAAAATCATTCACATCCCATAATGCATTCATAGTTATGTATCTCTTTGCTTCTGGTGGTAAATATTATTATAACCTAGAAATTAACATAAGAATAATCACTAATTTGGGAGAGACCCACATACTTTAGACCTGTAGTCCTATTTTGAGTCTGCCATAAAATTCTCAAACTTTGAGTTTACATAAGCGTGTTTTTTTCTCCAAAATACACCAAGGAAAGTAAATGGAACGAAACTGAATAAACAGTTATAGAGCCCTCAGGGGAGGGGAGTCAGGGGAAAAGTATAAATATATAATGGATATGCACTTTTATTACCTGAGCATTTAGCAACTCCTCACACTTGTGTGCTTGTTTCTCAATTGCAGAAATATACTGTTTTTCAATAGCTTCTACTTGTTGCTTAACTGAAGACTGCAGTAGTGCCTAAAAACAAGGAAAAAAGGCATTTGGATCACAGACAAAACTTGGAATCTACTGTTGGCATGGGAATTTTTTTGACAGTTGTACATATCTGAAATATGATACTCTTCCGCATTATAAAATATATACTTGTGAATACTGAAGCACATTTATATATAACGCTATGTTAAGCTTTTCGTTTTAGGTTTTTTCTATTGCCAAGATTACAGTTTTTTGGCTCAGAGGTTCCTTCCACACACCTTCTCCTTAAAAAAGGCCAAGTCATAGAAGATGATAAAGAGAGTGAGCAGTTCTGTTAAATATAAATTCAGTTTTCAGCGAAGACCACACAGGATGAGGAGCGTATGAAAGCTGCTGAAAGAAAAAAAAAGAAAAAAGGAGGAAAAAAAAAAAAGCCAGACATATTTCACTGGCTGACAAAACTCCACATCCTCTCGGCACACTGTAATATCCCATGGGCCAAGCATGATCTTCAAGACCACAAGTCAAGTAAAAGCAGATGGAAACTCTGAGCAACTTCAAACATAAAAGAACTGCCCCCCAGGAAGTTCACGCCCCTAATGTGAAAAGGTATAAGTCTACTAAGTGTGTAAGTCAGAATCTCAAGGCAGTATTCATAAAAAGTAATAAAACTTAGGAGACTGGACAAACTTAACTGGGTAGTGTAAATGCTGGAACTTAAGTCAGTTAAATATAAAGACGTTACCACTGTTCTAAGGAAAGCCAAATCAACATTTGAAGATGTTCCACCCACTCATTTCCTCATTGGAGATACTTAAAATATTATCTTGTTTCTTTTTTTTTTTTAAACTTTATATGTTATACTAATGTGTTTCCAATAATATCTTACATGCTATTTATAAATCCTAAATCATTCTAAAGTATATACTCAATCATATATGAGAACTCAAGCAAATATTCTATTTTTAAAGGTCTATCTGGATAATAAACTACTCATAATCAAAATAGAAAGTTGAAACAGACACATGTCTTATAGAAAACAGACCATTGGCACATTCACCAAGAAAAGAAAAATCAGCCAAATCTCTTAATCTCTGTTTTGAAAATAGATTTACTTGGTTGGAAACAACATGCATTAAGATGCTAAATAAATAAGCATGTATTTTAAAAACTGAGACAAAAAATATTTTTAAAACTTTTGGATAAGTCTCAAATTTTCAGATAATTAACTTTCTTTTGCAAATATTAGACTGTCTGATGATATTACAACTTCTACAATTCTGTCATTGTCAATATGAAGCTACAGAATTACTAGTAAATTAGTAAAGAAAAATAAAGCTCACAATGAGGTTTAATCAAAATATAAGGAAATGCTTACTACAACTGCTTTTATACAATAAATATCTTCTACAGATTCCGTAATGATTAATTTATGTAAGATACCAAAACATGATTTTCTTAAACTATGATTAGAAAATGTAAATCTCTAATTTACCTTTAGCAAGATATACTATTTGTTAGACTTCAGAAAATTTAAAGAATGATATCGTTATAGAGCATTCCCTTGGAATAATCATAGCATCTTTTGTAAAGAGAAAAATGTCATTCTTTTTTGCGACTTGGGTAAGACAGAATTATTTTGATTAATGGAAGGAACTGTTTTCACTTCCCTATTTACAAGAGTTCCAAATAATCCCATAATCTAAATGCCGGATTGTGATTTTTTTAGATTATTTCCTTTGGAGGACAAGTAAATCAATAAGATAATATTCTTTCTCTATAATTAAGAAAGACAATTTGAATAGTATTTTCTTCCTCTAGCAATTGATTTGTACACCATATACTCATTTTCTTTGCAACGTCAAGGAGGATGATGAGTCAACTAGGAACCAAAGCTGTGGTTATGGAGCATGAAGAAAAGCTATGCAAGAGTAACTGGCCTCTTACATAATTCAAATGTCTCATCTTAGCCTTATTCAGTCATTTGAATCTATACATCAATAAAAACAACACAAAGGTAGGTACATAAAATTTTTTTTAAGTCTTTCTTCTCTGCCTCAGATTGAAGGCAAACATTCTCTTGATAATCACATACTATAGGTATTAATATTTGCAGGCTGCAGATCAGAGAAAGATGTCCCAAGCCTTCCTGTAAGGCTCACCTTGATACACAGAGAACACTGAATAGGTTAACAATAGCATAGAGGCATACGTAGCATAGAAGTGGAGTTAAGAGTTGAAGAAAATGGTAAGGAAGGAGGCTAGAAAAGTAGGCATCTGTCAGATATTAAAGGACCTTGTATGCTACAAGGAGTTTAAAAATTTGGCCTATACTACTCAACAGTGGGATCATTAGTGCTGTACACAGTCCAAGAAAATGAGGTAATTTCCAAAAACTGTCCCTACTAGATTAACCATTATAGACATACTTACAAATACACATTGGTGGTACTAGCCACCTGCTTTTATGGCTCGCTCTCTTATTATATAACTGAATATTTATCTTCTAATGTAATAAGCTATAATGATTGTCTTTAAATTTCTCATACATTTTAAGTATAAAAATGAACAGTTATCTTATCTTTTACTAATCTCTAATCTTTTACTAATCTAATCTTTTACTGATTTCCTCTGTGATTATCTCTACAGATACCTAAGAAGAGGAAACCTTCCTTGAGCTTATATAACACTAACTATATAAAGATATGTGAAACAATAAGTTCCTTTTTAAACTATTCTCAACACACATAAAGCATTAGGACTCTAAAGGGATGTATAATGAGAAAAAACAAGATGTATGCCAACATATTCTGTATTGAAAACAACCAAGGGCGGGGAATGTTCTACTGATTTTGAACATAAATATGTCTTAGTCACAGTTCTATCAAAGATTTAGAGTATTATTCCAGGGGACTTAACCCATTAACTTGAGGAAAACTATTTATTATAATTTAAGAATAATTTTAAAGATATGAACAAGATTGTAGGTCCCTTTAATACAGGATCTATATCTTACTCATCTTTATATATCACACACAGCTTCTTACAGAATGCCTTGTACATAGTCACAAATACAATTTGTTATTTGATGAATGAGGATCCTTGTATGAAAACTGATATTAAGAAGATACATAGTATCAACATACCAGTTTATTGCAACATTCACTAAGCTTCAAATTATAACTACCAAGTCCAGTTACCAAAATTGTTACTAAGTACATTTAATCCCTACAGCAGATCTCAATTTTTTAAGCTATTATTTTAAATAAGAAATATCTATTCTTTCTACTCCACAGGCTCATATGCAAGTAAATAAAATATTGTGAAGGACTACTATGGGAAGGAAAACTATGTTATAAATTCTACAATTATTAAACTTATAGAAAACAAAGGTATGAAGTAAACAATGATACCTCCCAAACTAATACACATACCAATAGATACATATTTCTATAATGGAATTGAATATACATGCTGGAATTTAGGTGGCATAAAACAAGTAGAGCCAAAGTGGACTGCTGCAATCCACACTACACTCCATTGTCCTAACAGATCCACAGCTTTTCCTGTTCTCTTCAAATAGCCCAATTCCTACAGATCTGATTCCAGCTTCATTAAATTCAATTACTTGTCCAGATTTCCAGAACAGATGTGTGTCAAGAACCAGATGATCTCTGAAACATTAATATCATGTTGGTATTTACTACATGACCCTAAATTAACACTGTGTAGCTAATTGTAAGCAAAAATAATTATTGTGAAAGTCACAAAAATTTTTATCTATCAATTAAGTCTTACCTCATAAATGGAGAAAAATATAAAGCTATGGAGCAAGCTGTATAGTAAAGATACCATGCCACTAAAATTTAAGCCCTAGGACAATAGGAATTTGTGTTTAACTCACTGATATACCCAATGTACCTATAACGGTACTTGACACATAGAAGACACTTTACAAATACATTGAGAAATGAAATAAATGGATCGTGATTTTAGCAAGCCTGATTATTTGCCTTTTTATAGAGAAATTATTAAAACATTTATGTTGATTATGTCTGTAATTACACACTTAGTTCAGCCTACTGACTACGGTAGTACAGACAAAATAATTGTAAAATATCATCTGAAATCAAGCACAATCTCACCTTTCTTGGAAAAATATCACCATTTTCTTTTCAAACATATATGTTTTCCTATCTTTATTTCAATCTTTTTTCTTCCAACCTTTCCCATCTTTTAACTACAAATGAAATGAGCAAAATGGAAAGAAACCTGCAAAATGGATGTTAAAACTGTGAAGGGACTCTTTTATGTTTTTTCTGGTATAAACCTTCTTTTTGAGCTAAATATTACTTCAAATTTTACAAGGATGTTAAACTGTTAGCATGTCATAATATTTCCTTAAAAACTGCAAACATACCATAAGTAAGTCTGTTATTCAAAACCAGAACCTACTTGAGACACGTTTGTAAAAATGATGGCTCTCAGGCATTTTACTGAATCATTCATCTATCTTTCTCTCTGAACTTCACATACCTGCCTTACAAATAAAGACACAGTAACCGTGGTTAAGAAATGTCTCCCAAAGCTCATGAAAAGACACAGTGGAACAAAGAATTTAATTCCATCCATTTGGTTCCCTGTTTGTCTTAGCTATTCTAACTCACTAAAGCAGATTTCTTTCTTCATAAACTAAGCACCTATTCTCCTTTTTATCAGTCACTCAATTATTCATTCGTTCTTAATTTATTCAACAAATATATATACCGAATGTGTATTTTATTCCAGACACTTTTCTAGTTAATGGGGGCACAGAGTGAACAAAGGGGACAAGGGCCTTACCTTCCTATGCTTACATTATTGGCAAGGAGATGGGGAGGACAAGGAGGGTAAGGAAGAATAAAATGTAGGCAACAAACAAATCATCTCTGATGGTGTTACATGCTATGAATAAAATAAAGAGGGAAAATTAAACAAGAGTGGAGGAGAAATTTTTCAGAAAGGGTAGTAAATAAAGGGCTCTCTAAAAAATAGAGTTGAGG